CATTTTAACTTAAATTTGCCTATCTGTGTGTCCCTGGTATCTCCTATTTGTCTTATCATCTTTTAATACCTACTAAATAAGCAAAGCTAGAACCCAGCAAGAAAAATTCTTTCAAGGAAAAAAGTCAACAACAAAGGTCAGGTCCTGGAATGTTATCAGTCTTTGGGGGGGTGCAAGTATGTAAGGTGTGACCACTGGCTTTTGATTTCAAATCACAAGAAGGAGAAAAGGTTATTATAGCGCATGGACGGAGGGTGGTTACTTCTCTCTCTCACTCAACTCACCCAGACCCCAATTTCCTCATTTATAACCACCCAGAAAAGGCAGCTAAGAGAAGCTTTCTCTGCATCAACTTTCATCAGAAATAAGAATTCCCCGGTGGTCCAGTGGTTAAGAATCCACCTTTCTATGCAGGGTTGCGGGTTCGATGCCCGGTCGGGGACTAAAATCCCACAAGCCAAAAAAAAAAAAAAAAAACACCTTTCATCAGAAATAAGCTTCTGTCCGTTCAAGCCTCTGCATTCCCCAGCTTCCCAGCGTTCTGCTCACCCGCTCACCCATTCCCCTGGCCTCAGACGTCTGTTTTCACGGTTATGGTAGAGCTTGCCTCTCAGGAAGGGAGGCAGCACGGGGCGGAGGTCACAGATGCTGGCATGGAGCCAGCTGGAACCTCAGCCTCTCCTGAGTCACCCGCTCTGCTCACCTGCCTTCTGCACTTAAGGGCCCCACCTGTCAAAGGGGGGTGATGATACCTGCTTCCGGGCACGCGTTGGGAGCCTCAGTAGGACAATGTCTGCGAAGTGCGTTGCCCACTGTACCTGGCACCAGGCGAGGCTCAGTCCATGGAGCTGCGCCCCGGCTTCCCGGGCGGCAGCATCACTGGGCTGAGCTAGTGCCAGTCAACTGCAGCTCTGCCTTTTCTTTCACCAGGTGAGAGGCAGTGCGTGATTTAATCATCCCATGACTAATACAGAAACTCTCTCCCCAGTCTAAGCACAGCACCAGGCTGCCAGTGGACCAGCCCTGGAGACGACAGCGCCCCGGGCGTCAGCGGCCTGGCGACTCCCCAGGAGCGCTCCGGCCACCCGGCCCGCCGCAGACCCCAGTGTCCTCGGAGATGCGGGGCCTGAGATCACTGGAGGCCTCTCCTCCAGCCGCTCACAGGGCGTTCGGACGCACTTGAGGGCTCAGCACAAGTTTTTAAACAGAGCTGGGGGAATTTCCTGGAGGTCCAGGGGTTAGAACTCTGTGCTTTGACTGCCGTGGGCCTAGAGTTCAATCCCTGGTAGGGGAACTAAGATCCCACAAGTCGCAAAATAAGTAAATAGATAAAATAAAAAACAAAGTCCCAGGATTTAACGAATAAATAAGAGCTGGGTACACAGCCCAGGTCTGCTCACTTTTTCTCTTTCCTCAAGCCACGCTTTTATATGTATTATGTGTGTGCACTCAGTCGTGTCCAATTCTTTGCAATCCCATGGACTGTAGCCTGCCAGGCTCCTCTGTCCATGGGATCCTCCAGGCAAGAATACTGGAGTGGGTGGCCATATCCTTCTCCAGGGGATCTTCCCGCCCCAGGGATGGAACCCGCATCTCCTGAGTCTCCTGCACTGCAGATGGATTCTTGACTGATAAGCCACGGAAGAAGCCCCCAGGGGAAACTGCAGAATCCTTTAACAGGTATTTTAATAAGGAACTGAGGGTTGGATTTGAAGTTCATTCAATATCCAGCAACCCCACACCAGCCTCCCTTCAACATGCTCTCCGTTGAAAAAAACTGTGTGGCAGCTAATACTGCCACAAGGAAAACTGTCAACTACCTATGAGGGCTCAATCCCTGGGCTGGGAAGATCCCTTGGAGGAGGGCATGGCAACCCACTCCAGTATTCTTGCCTGGAGAATCTCATGGACAGAGGAGCCTGGTGGGCTACAGCCCATGGGGTCACAAAGAGTCAGACACGACTGAAGCGTTCATCCAAACAGATACTCTACTAGGAAACATTCCTACACCCCCGGGAACACAAGAGCTTTCCTCAGAGGCAGCACAAAAAAACCAGGGGCCAGTGATCACAGCGAGCAGAAGCTCTTTGGCAATGAAGGGCTCCAGCATCTACACGTGCTCTCCCCGCCCCCACCACGCTGGACTCCAGGACGCCCCCATTATGCTGGAGTCCGGGACGCCCCCACTACGCTGGAGTCCGGGACGCCCGTGATGCCAGGTGACGGGGAGCATGACTCGCGGGCTCCCTCCAAGGCCTTTTCAGACAGAGCAAAAATAGGAAAAATTATTTATATTCTCAATAAAAGAAACTCTAGATTCAAATCCTACCTTTGTTCCAGAATTACTGGGATAGCCAAAAGGTCGTTCAGGTTTTTCCAGAAAATGTTAATGGAAGAAACACCAACGAACTTTCTGGCCAAGCCAGTACTAGGTCAGTTTCCTTCCCTGCCTTCACTTCCCCCTCTTCAAATGGGTGGGCTTTCCCCTGCATCTCCCTTCTGTGTTTCACAAGAACTATGTGAAGGACTGAAGTATAAACATTTGGACTCAACAATCAAACACAGCTCTTTTACCCAAATCACCCCCTCCCTTAGTTTCTGAGGATAGTGTTATCAAGATATCTCCAAACCTTTGACCCATCTGTGATTTTTTTCTTTTTATAAATTCATATGGCTCTTCACAAGTATTCACTACTCTTTACCTTATATTTTTTTCTTATTAACACACACACTCACACAACATGTAAGTCCAGATTCTTTTCTTTGACTCAAAATAAACCACAGGTCTCCAGTACTCAACAGATAAAAATCTCCAAGTCCATGTTCACATTTATCCTTGAAAGAGATTTAATACTTCAGCATGTCAACACACCAAGTCAATCAGAGGACTGAGAAATCAACACAGACGTCCCCCCGTCCACGTTTCCGGTTTCCTTGCGATATGAACAAGACAGAATTTATCTGAGAAGGAAATGCCAAGGTGACATTCGGAATCGCTACGTTTGAGGGGCGGGAGGCCAGCTTCCAGGGCACTGGGCCTTCTCTTCTGGAGCCGTGGTGTTGCCAGGCCCACTTCCCCATGTGCACGCAATTCAGCCAGCTCCCGGCGGGGGTCCGACAGCCCTGCCCAAGGACTTCTGCGGCATCCAGAAAGGATCGTGCCATCAGGAGGCCTCTTGGGGAGGGGGGTTCATGGGGAGAAACAGAAAGGTGGAGCTCGAAAGAAATCCAGTTAGCGTGAAAGTCCTATTTCTTGAGTTAAGAGGAACAGACCAGGGGGAGGGGTGGTCAGTGGTGGAAGGGGAGGTCAGAGGTGGGCGGGGCGGTCAGAGAGGTGGGAGGGGCGTTCAGAGGTGGGAGGGGCGGTCAGAGGTGGGAGGCGTGGTCAGAGGTGGGCGGGGCGGTCAGAGGTGGGAGGCGTGGTCAGAGGTGGGCGGGGCGGTAAGAGGTGGGAGGTGTGGTCAGAGGTGGGCGGGGCGGTCAGGGGTGGGCGGGGCGGCCCACCTGGGAGAGACAGCAGCAGATGAGGGCACCCCTGTCGCAGAGGGCACTCTGGCCGTGTCCCCTTGTTCCAGAGCCACTGCCAGTGCCACCCTGACAGCAGGGTCTGCTGGGTGCCTGGGGACAGAGCCAACGGCTCCGTCCCTGCCGTCTGCTACCCCGGATGAGCAACAGCTCTGAACCCACACTGGACGGAGGAGTCACGGGCTCCTGCCGCTCCCTACTCTTGCATTACGGGGCCACCAGGAGATGGCAGGAGAAAGATACCTGCTTGTGGCTGTGTCCACCTCCGGGGGCCCCCAGAGGACCCCCCTCTAGTCCACTTCATGGTGCCCTCACATTCTCCCAACCTTCGCAGAAATGCTTCTACAACAGGACTTAATGAAGTGTGTTCTGCAAGATGCATTATTTCACTAACTCCTAATATCCTGCTTCATGGAGCGTCAGGCCAGACAAGCGCATCCTACGCAGTCATCCCTGTCAGTGTCTGCCCACTGAGGTACGGGGACACATAGGCCCCCGTGGCCCTCAGCTGCCACCTGCACTTTCTCCCGGGTGCCACGGAGCCCGTGGTCCCTACCAGCAGGATTCCCTTCCCTCCTCCTCCTTCCTCCACGTCTTGGTTAACGCCCTTTACTGAAATTTCTACAATTTCCTGGAGCCCGACCCAACCCGCCATAAGTCAGCCTTAAAGCCTGAGACCCACTCTGGACCTCGGCATCTTTTTCTGACGACGATGGGCAGGAACAGCTCTCCTCCAAAGCTCTCTCCAGCTGAGAAAACGTACACAGTCTATTTTTCTTCTTAAAACTTTGCTCCCTGTACCACTGACAGAAATAACTTTCCAGGCTTACCTGTTAAAGGGATCTGGAACACAGAGCCTCCCCGAGAAGTCCCCCTGGGGGCTAGCCTTCCCTTCCTGGTATCTGTGGGACATCACACGGCCTGGAGGCAACATCCTATTACCACAGGCTTAAAGACGGATGTCTCCATTTTCCAGTTTGCAACCTGTGGGGCAGGCTGGATGAATTCTAAGGTCTCTTTCAGAGCAATAGGCCCAGGACACTGCAAGCAGAAATCTCAGGCTAACCAGTGAAGGCCAAGACCGCAAGAGGGAAAAGTCAGTACTGACTGAAGACCTCAGGGCGGCCCCAGACTTCAGCTGTCTCTGGTTTTGCTCCCGATGCCAGGAGGCTGAAGACAAGCAGGGAAGTACAGCGTGAGTCAGTCAGGTCTCCACCATCAGCCCAGCCCTGGGGGGCATCCCAGGAGGGGAGGCGAAGGCCATCTGGCAACACGGTGCTCTGAACATTCTGCCCGGTTGTCAGGAAATTAAATTCCTCAAACAGGGACCCCAAACCCAAGAACGACCACCAGCCACCACGTACTGCCCCTGGGCCCGAAGTTCTAGCAGTGGAGCTTCTGGAGCACGTTATAACTGAACACGGCTTTCCTTGGGCTGGCCTATGGATTGGCATGTTTTCTGTTCATCGTGTTACCTGTCAGTAGCATGTCACCATGCAGATGTCAGCCTGAGCACGGGCCAGGATGTACGGGTGCAGCCACGTCTCCGTGTTCATCCAGAGAAGTACTGTAGCTTCAGGGTGACTGTCCTCCAAGTTAAAGCTTCATCATCCCGGCCTGCCTGTCAACACTTCAGATTCACTTTTCTATTGTTGCGTGTATTCACTCACTACCCAGGTGAAAAGATTTGAAGGCTTGTGTGGGTATGCTCTATGGATTAAAACAGCCTTTAAAAAAAACCCACACAAAGTGTATGTTTGGAATAATCACTCAAGCACGGGTGGTTGGGGACCTCAGAGTTGCCAAAATCATTCAGATTTCTTAGGAGGGCAGGATTACTCCTCCTCCTAACTTGTCTAATCTGAGTTCACCTGACACTCGAAAATGGATCATTTTGGGGGAGTGATTTCAGAGGGTTGGAAGCAGCCACACCGTGAAGCCCCTACCCGAGGCTCCTCCTCCCTCTATTGCCGTGTCCAAAATCCGGTACCCCACATTCAGACTAGCGTGTAAATAACTGATCCTAGGTCATCCTCTAGAACAGGCTGGAGAGAGCAGGACTCCGTGTGCCTGCTCTCCAGCAGAGGTATAAAGGTGTGTTTTTCTAAAAAGGGCAGGGAGGGAGAAAAGGAGAAAAACAAGATGAAGGCGTCCAAAACAAGGAGGCAGCTGCGCTGCTGTCTCCAGAGATGATCTTGCTTCTTCCTAACGTGGCTTTTCAAAGAAGGGCATCCGGTTCCCCAGCGGTGGAGACTCCACTGCAGGGGACGCGGGTTCGCTTCTTCCTAACGTGGCTTTTCAAAGAAGGGCATCCGGTTCCCCAGCGGTGGAGACTCCACTGCAGGGGACGCGGGTTCGCTTCTTCCTAACGTGGCTTTTCAAAGAAGGGCATCCGGTTCCCCAGCGGTGGAGACTCCACTGCAGGGGACGCGGGTTCAATCCCTGACCATGCGAAGAGGGATAATTTGCCTACCTTGGTCTGGCAGGGGTCCAAGCGGAGCTGTGAACGGGCACCCGGCGAGGTCTCCGTCTCCCCCTCCCCACCTCGCCTGCGGGAGCGGGGGGCGCGGTCTGACAGTCAGCGCCGTCACTGGGGCATCACTAATGCGGACACAGGGGGTGCCGGCCCCCTCCCCCCAGCCAGGTGTCCAGGCCGGCGAGGCCATCTGGGTTAGGAAATGTGTGTTCGGAAGCCCGCTGGGGGAAGCCCGTTTGGATGGAAAGCTTCCGCGTAAGAATCAGCCAGCCTCAAGAAGCTTCCTCAGCCCTGGCCCGCTGAGACGTTGGGCCTCGGAAATCAGTTCTTTTCCCTTACGGAGCCCTGAGAAGGCCAAGGCATCCACATTCAAGACCATGTGGCCAGGGTCCAGGAAACGGGTGTGCTCTGACAGCAAACGGTGCGTAAAAATGTCCGGAAGGGACTAGACTTTAGTTTCAGGTTTTCAAAAGCCTGAAGATGTAAACCCCAAATGAAAAAGAAATGCCTATCTAAAATGGAACCACCGTGCTTTTAAACAATTTGTCCCCGGACAGAAGAGATAACGAACGTTTAAAAAATTAACTCAAATTGTACGAAATAACGACAATGTCCTGAAAAAATATTTAGCTCCGACATTTAAAAGATCTGTAAAAAACCCAGTGAGTGAAGATGTAAAGAAACAGACGGTCTCATTCAATGGATGTGAGTATTACTGGGTCCTACCTTTTTAGGGCGATATTAGCAATATCTATGAAGTTTAAAATGTGCATCAGCTTTGACTCAGCAATTTTCCTTGTAGGCATCCACTGTCCAGAAATATACAGATGTTAAGATATATGTGTACAACAGTTATTTCAGCATTATTTGGACTAGAGGAAAACTGTAAGAATTCCCAGTGGTTAGGACTTCACACTCTCACTTCCAAGAACCAGGTTCAGTCCCTGGTCAGGGAACTAAGATCCCAAAAGCCATGTGGCACTACCAAAAAAAGAAAAGAGGAAAATTATTTTAGCAGAAAAGAGCCCCATGTGCATCAAAAAGGGATCAGTTAGCTAATTCTGGTTCATTCACATAATGAAAGCTAACTGCTGTTAAAAAAAAAAACAAAAGGCAAACCATGGTACTTATGGGAAAAGGTGTTCAGAGAGAAAAGTACATTGCAAGCCACGTATCAAGTTTGCTTTTTTGTAAAACAGGATTAGATATGTTAATACATGCACAAAAAAGTCTTCAATGGGTGGATCATTAGGGACTTTAAACTTCCCATGATAAGCACTTATAAATTGTTAGGATTTTAATGTTTTCTTTATCTTTAACATTAAACAATAACTTGTAATCAGAAGGGGAAAAAATGAATGCCTCCATTTTTATGTTAATTATCTACAACCCCTTATCTTTTCCTGGAGTGGGGATGATTCTCAAGGACCATGGTTTTTGTACATCCTAGAGAACAGGGGCTATGGGCTCTGTATTTCATCCTAGCAATAGCATTTGATAAATGGCTCAAAATCCCAAGTCTTCAAATACCCTCATACTGAAGCTATTTTGTGCTTGCAAAGTGGCCGCTGCGATGAACAGACTGCAAGAGGGGGACCTGGGAATATCACCTTGGGCCAGTTTTCTTCCTGCGTCCCAGCTGTTTCACTGTAAGATTAGCATTTAAAGGGACCCTGACCAGACTCTGCGGGCATGAAGTACTCAGCATTTGCTGACACACGGGGGGACAGAGACAGGGCCTGAAATCAGGAAGCCGTGGGAAAAGGAACATTTGAGAAAAGGCCCACCAGCGTCATCGGCAGCTGGGGTAGAGTCAGTCGGGGGTAAGGGACAAAGGGTTTGGACGCAGGAGAAAAACAAGCACGTTTCTGAGGTTGTCAACTGGAGACCTGAGTGCCTGGAAATATGTAGGTATGGTTTGCATCATCGCAACAATGGGAGAAGGCAGCTGCTACCGGCTACCATGAGTGGTGGCGGAGACGCTAAGCTCCCCACGAGGAACTGGACAGTCCCAGGAGCACCAGTGAGGGGCGCCGGCCAGGCTGGGGGGCATCCGCTTCCTTCCCTGACCCAGGGGCCAGAGTGGGGGCCAGGGGCCGGCTGGGTGGGTTGAGAAGGAAAGCAAGGAGGCAGGACCACTAGCCCATCAGCTACACAGTCCACCCTCTGCATGCAGCCTGTTCCGAAGTCAGCCCGAGTTGTAAAACGTCTAACTGCCCGGGACTTCCCTGGTGGTCCAGCGGCTAAGACTCCACACTCCCAACACAGGGGCCCAGGTCCCTTCCCTGGTCCAGGAACTAGATCCCACATGCCACAGCTAAGACTCCACACAGCCAAATAAGTAAAAATATATTTTTTTTAGAAAGACAAACAAACAAAAATCCTACAAACTGCCTAACTCCAAAATGGCCCACTCTGGATCTGTTAGGATAATTGTACTTTCCCTTTGTGTATTCCCTGATAGCTCGGTTGGTAAAGAATCCGCCTGCAATGCGGGAGACTCGGATTCAAGCCCTGGGTTGGGAAGATCCCCTGGAGAAGGGAAAGGCTACCCACTCCAGTATTCCGGCCTGGAGAATCCCATGGACCATATGGTACGTGGGGTCACAAAGAGTCGGTCACGACTGAGCAGCTTTCCCTTCACTTCACTTTGTGTGTGAGTCGCTCAGTCGTGTCCAACACTTTGCCACCCCGTGGACCGTAGCCCACAGGCTCCTCTGTCCTTGGGATTCTCCAGGCGAGAACACTGGAGTGGGTTGCCATGCCCTCCTCCAGGGGATCTTCCCGACTTAGGGATCAAACACGGGTCTTCAGCATTGCAGGTGGATTTTTTACCACTGAGCCACCAGGGAAGCCCAGTACTTTCCCTTTAACAAACACTAATAAGTAATTAAAACTTCTTGAAGGTCCACAGCTCTAGAGTCGCATGGCTGAACAACTCCTCACCACTAGAGGCTGTGGGCCCCGTGGGTTCAATGCCTTCCTGCTCCCTTAGGGACCCTGGTCTCCCACTGGTTTACTTGAGGGGGGGTCCCAGGCTCCGCCGGCCACCATTGTCCGATGTAAACTCCAGAAAACAGAGACCTGTCTACTGTTTTCCCCACAACATCCCCCAGCCCAGAGAACAATGGCTGGCACACAGTGAGTGCTCAGTAAACATTTTCACACATGAATGAGGTAGTGGAAAGGGCATAATCTGAGGAGGCAGAGCCAGGTGGACTATTGATAAGCTGTGTAGCCCTGAGTAAGTCATTTAACTCTCCTAAGCCTTTGGTTCTTCATCTGTGAAGCAGAGGAACAATAGCCACCTTCCAGGGCTTTAGGGCAGACTCAGATGATGCATGGGAGACATCAGCATGGGACGTTTAGTTCTCTGTAGGTTCTTGGAAAATGGGAACTGACACTGTATCATTATTATTAATAACGACAGCTCACGCTGTAGCCCACGCACCTCCCGCAACCGCAAGCTTCACATAAAAGTGAGGCAGTTTGGTTCAGCTTGTCCTCTGCGAGCTACTAGTTAACAACTAACACAGCAATAGCCTCTTCTCGAAACACGACGCTTCTGCAGTTTTCCTTCAAAGAGCTGCATGCAGAGCGTGATCCGTCAAGTCACTGTCTCCAAAGCCTCTCACAAAGCCTCGGTGAAGGGGTGTGAGCCAGGACGACACGGCAACTGGTCAAGGAGACCCAGCCCGTGTGCGGGCAGTTCTGGTTCAGCCCTGGCCCAAACTGTTGCAGTCTGACTCTGATTTGGCCTCCTGATTCCTGAGCCTGTTCACTTAGGAAGACCCAATAGGCCACAGTGGTTGCAAGCATGGAATCCGGAGCCTCCCAGTCTGCCAAGGTTCAAAGCTTGGCATCACCACTCTTAACTGTGCGACCCTGGGCAAGTTACTTAACTACCTGAAACCTCAGTGTTCTCACCTGGAAAACAGGAGACAACAGCAGCATCTCCCTGGGGAAAGAGGGGGAGAAAGGCAGAGGTCGTATTTCCCTTGGTTTTATAAAAATCATGGACATCAAGGAACCCATTTGCAGAAACACTGTGGAGACTATCTTTCCCACGTTCTCCCATTTTTATTGATCATACAGTCATCTGGAACCCTCTCTGAAGGGCGGAGGAAAGAGCTTTGCTGGTGATACACTGGCTGTCTCTACAGAAACATGAGCAAAAGGCTTGACACATGGTAGGTCTTCAAGAAATATCTCTTGAGTGACTGAAGAAGTGATTCAGAAGCTGAAAAAGTGTGGCAGTCCATCATACCTGT